AAATTAATAGGTAACTTGTAAATTTCCTTGGTGAACTCTTGGTTTGGTTGGTCGATTCTGGGCAAACAGTTAATGCTGCGCATCAAACTAAACTCTGTTGGGGGCATGAAACTGTTCATGCAAATCGTACACGCGATAGATTATAATATTATAGAATCATGCCTTGTTTGAAAAAAAATACAAGGATCCATCTTAAGGCCACAATCCTCTAATCACTAACAACTTTGTAAAGAGATCAATGAACCATCTTTGTACGTTGGTAAACCTTTTGCATAGACACTAGCGAGAAGTAGCGGCAAAGCATGGACACAGGACCAGGTTAAGGTTGTGGAAGTGCCGAAAGGCAAGAGCAATAAGGACCGTCGGCTGGACCGTCACCTTTCGCCAGGACTGTCTGGAATAAGGTTTGTAGCAAACTTGGGTTGATAACAAAAATTTTCCTACCCTTTCCTTCACTTCAGGTAATGATGCTGACGTTCGCAGAGCATAGACCGGAGTCACGTGGACCTCCGAGTTCAATTATCCCGTAAGGCTTTAGTCGTAATTATATCTCTGAAAAACGGTGTACAACCATAGTACGCGGATCGATAAATAACTCGTTTCTTTCTTTAAGTTTTTCAGAGTTTCTCACTGATACTTGATATGATTGATCGATTGATGTGCATGATTTGATCTTCTTGGGCTTCTACTACTACCCATGGAGCATACTTGCTTTTTGCTTCTAGTACCGGTCAATGGTGAGGAAAATATTTTTGAAGTGAATGACAAGTGTGGTGCTTGGTGTCCCACAATTCATTTGGGATGCGCCACGAATTAGCTGACATTCAAAATCATTTCATTACATGTTCGGTCCATTCGCAACTGTAGGGGATTTTGTGCTGAAATCAATCAAAAAAAAGTTTTGTATAATAAATTGACCGCCGGCACATAATTCATCGTACACCAATGCAAATTCGTTCCTTTTCGCACATGAAGGTGAAGCCTCCTATCACTGCCCCATCTTCGTCTTGAAAAGCGTTGTTACTTCTACGGTGTGCTGTATAGTATGGGTGCTGGAGAAGAGTATGTTGGCTTTACAAAGGAACAAAATGTGACACCGAGAAATGGCAAATTCATGCGTACAGGGAGAGGAAGGAAGAGAGAGAGGAAGAAGTGCCATTCTCTAAGTTAGCAAACGGGTCGAAAGGGTCGGTCAACCCCAAGGATAAATCCGTGTTCCTCCACTCAAGAACGAGATGTTACAGTATTGTAGAGGTCGTCTTCGTCGGCAACTTTATAATGCCAATGTCAATTTGGAAAGTGGGACAGATTTTTTCGGGAATTTTGGTTTTTGCTCACCAAAAGCGTTAGTCGCGACAACGATCACATAATCAGCAAAAGCACAGCAACTGATAAAGGTACCAACCGGCTGTCATGCAGACCAATCACACGGTTTTATTCGCTCAATATCAAGATTGCCTTGTTGTTTTTCGGACACTAATAGCACAGAGAATTCCATTTTAGTTGGAAGAACAACAAACTATACTTCTAAGCTGCTAACTTGTAAATTTTATGTACTTTTTACATCTTTATTACCTTCAATGTCAAATGTTACACTAAGCCGTGTTATCCGCTTTGGGGAAGTTTGTTACTGTCGAAATTTTGAATACATGGTTCAAAAAGGAGTTTTCCGTGCCGCTTACATGACATGGCAGATGTTATAGATAATACGCCCTATTCGCACGAGAGACATCCTCAAACTTTGCACAACTATCCAAACCACCCACTCTTCTGACTAATTGTCCCTGTGCCGAGTTTCACATTAGTCAGTGTCCAATTAGGCCTAGGTTGTTCTGCCTTTCAAATTAGGCATCTAGCCTTTTTTTCTCCTTACCACAAACACTAAATTGAATTTTGAGTCAATCAATTTTGTGCCATCCCAGGTCAAATTATTTTTTTACTCACTGTTACGATTGACCTGTAAATAAAAATTAGCGTATACCATCGGCGAAGCGCGACACGAGGGAATTTTTAGGTGATTGCAATGATTGTCAAAATACCCAGCAGTTTTTCCAGAACTTGGTCGCGTCTCTATCAAATGTCGTATAGCCGTGGCGATAACACACTAAAGGTCTCAGCGGAACTATTTGCTGAGAATCGAACCCGTCTTGTAGCAGCACTCAAGGTTACTTTTTTAACTGCTCTGTATGGACTTCCCATTAGCCCTCCCGTGTAATCATATCGATGGCAAGGGGTATAAATTTGTCTACACCCACCTGACGCCCATGTCAGAAGATGTGTACTCTCCCTTTTAAACTTCATGGCGGTATTTTCAGAATGTTGCGCCAGGAAGTGTAGTGCTTCTACAGGGAGGAACCGAGAAGAATCGTTACAATACTGATGCAGAAGACCTACCTTTTAGACAGGTTTTTTTTGGCAATCTATTTCAAAATCCTATACCAAATATCGAAACAGACAATACGTTGTTCATAGGACACATCGTAACTTTACAGTAGATGGACGTTCAGTACATGTGACTCAAAGACTAAAACTGCTGTTCACTCTCTCCTTATCTAACGTCTATCGTGCATTGTCCGATAACTTTAAATTTTTCCTTCAGGAGTCTTACTTCTTCTGGACTTTCGGTGTTCACGAAAGTGGGTTTTTTGGAACTGTTCATGTCGACTCAGGGAAATCGTGTCTTTTTGCACCAACTCTTGACCCTAGCTATGCTATTTGGGATGGCAAGTGTGTTTTTAGTCATTGCTTTTCCTCGTATGTTCAAGGTAGCGAATACGTAAGATGAAAATTCTGCTTATCTAGGATTCACGACGAATCCTTTTTTAAGAAGAAGTACGAGGTTGATGAAGTTCGTTTCCTGAATGGAGATACGATAAGTGACTACCTTAAAGGAATCAAGGCGAAGAAAGTCTTGCTGTTGGTAAGTGATTCAGTGCTGTTTACCAAAAAGTGGTTTCTTTCGATAACGAATGAACTTTATCTAGAGAGCAGAGAACTCCGACAGCGGCAATGTTCTAGAGCCGCCAGCTTTCCCCGGGAAGGAATTGTAAGTTTTTACAGGTTTAATCCAATCGTGGTTGCTGTTAGAAAATGCCCTAGGACTAAGCCTTGGAGAGGAGAGGGACCCGCTAGAGAGCGCAGAGGCGGTAAAGGGCTGAGTTCAAGTAGTCCGTCAACCATTTTAGAGTAATTGCTTGTCTTCTTGAAACGTTATGAGTCACGCACTTTTTTGCCATATTCTATCAGATGTGCCCAGGCTACAGAGAATAACATAAAGGTCTTATTGCATCTTTCGGACGACGTAGAGAAAAAGTAGATCTTCAACCATACACGCTCTAAAAGAAAAAATTCACGTACACAGCTGTTCCAGCTCACATTATTCACACTTGTTTTGGTGATCTTCATTGTGCACTTTTAGATTTGAAGTCGACGTTAACAGGCTGTACCCAATTATGGCCGAATTACGTGTTTTCAAAACAGACAAGGAATTGGAAGTAAGGAACATTTCAGGCTGTCTCCACAAAAGAGCCACTGTTTTCTAACTTAATTCGTTTAGTGGATCTACTTCAGGTCATGAGGTACGCTAGTAAAATCGCTTCCGAAGCTCATCGTGCTACCATGAAAGCGATCCGTGCTGGCCAATACGAGTATCAAATGGAAAGGTGCTACTTTGAACTCTAGATGTCATTTGAAAACTGTCAGATTTTGATATTCTAGGGCTGTTGTATCGTCCAAACTCGCAATTAGCGGTTCGAATTTGCAATTATTTTGCAAAAAAAAAGTGTTTGCAGAGTAGTTTTGCAATTAATTTTCCCATAAAAATGATCGCAAAGAACCGATACTCAGACCACACCGACAAATGTCGATTGAAGCTTAGACTTTTCCGTTGACCGAGGCATAGTTCGCGTTTTAATTCGTTTGTATCAGTTGGTATGTATTGCAGTGTCTTCCGCCATACGTCTTACTATCATGGAGGATGTCGCCATCTGGCTTATACATGCATAGCAGCAACGTAAGCATATTTTTGTATAGAGTTTCTATTACGATGTGAGTTGGGAAGTTGGAGGACAGCAAGGAGAAAAGTAAAAGGGGAGAGAACTACGGGAAAATCTTGATCTATTCTTTCAAGACAGGTGGTACGATAAATTAGTTCTTCGCTAGGAACGAAACTGGAGCAACTGATAAGTCAAGCAGTAAAAAAAACGAAGGGAAGCAACCCCAAAATGAGGCCCCTTGTCTCCTCATTACAGCTCTGGGTGAAACAACGTCATCAATGTAAACCCTCTGCTCTGCCATTTTGCTAGAATAGCTGGAGTCCGATGGTGGGGGTCCAGCAGCTAGGGTGGGGCAGAGGAACGAAGGCGTCCAAATGGTAGTGTAGCGCCTCGCAAGGCCGCTACGGGCCCACGAACGAAAGTGCCACGTATCGCTTTCTTGAGGGCCAATTTCCCTCCATATTAGGCATATTTGTCTTTTACAATTTATTGTGTCGACTGCCTTTGATTAATCGATTGATGGCATGACGTAAATTATGAAGCACGAAAGAAGCTAAAAAGGCAGTATTTTGGGAGTAAGTTTGTATAATTCAGAGGCTGCAATGGCTCAATTCTCCACTAT